CCCTCATTTGTAATAATTACGCTGAAATAGTAATGATTGATAACAATATATACACACTGGGTGAATTTACCAATTGATCATACAGAGTTGCAGTTCAATCAGATCGTGTGTCTGGTGCATGTACATGCTCGTATGTATCATCCAATCAGTAGTCTCTACTTATTTATATACATGATGTAATTTAAAAGATTAAAAATAACTAACGATCATTGTAAGCGAATTAGCGCAGGTGTGATTTAAAATGGAGGTAATAATGAGTCTATTCATGACGTGGGCGTGTTCATAACAAACATAATAGGGTTAGAACAAATGAACAAACACAACTGTTGACGGTCGTTGTTTGATGTGGTACATGTTAAAGGTAGTCATACACTGTGTACATTTTGTGTTGGCAGGTTTAGTGAACTCATTACACAATTAGATTATCTTTTGCCTTGGGTGTCGGGTGAAAGATAACAACAATGCATTGCCGTATCATCCTATATCACCGGACACCAAGAAGGAAATCAAATATTCATAATTACCATACTGTAGTTGATACCTCAAGACATGTGACACTCTGTATCTGAACATCGACTAAATATGAAGATAGATATGGAGGCTACTCTAATGTATCACATTATACAAATTGAACATATAACACATAGCCTAGGGTGTTTGCTTATACTAAATAAAATAGGGTAGCTCTGAATTATACGTTGCACACATATAAAGCCCTTCAAAACGTGTTTCAGTTTTCATGTTTAGACAGTCTTGGTGTCACACTCATACAATTTCGGAGCGGCTTCAAAAGTAGAAGATATTCCAAAAAGCACTCAAATTACCGGTACAAGTGCAAACATTTGATCGTTATTTCATAGTCCTTGATAATCTTGAATATATTGATATATTATTATTCAAATATACACACGTGTAAAAAACAACAATAATTATATAGTGCCAACATGCTATGACACACGTGTAAACATAATCAACTTAAGAAGGGTATATTTTATCGTATTTACGTATTAGTTGCACCAATACCAATGCTGGTTTCACGACAAATGACTGAGCACATATTCTGCAGCACAAATGCAGTGTGGTTATTTCGAGGATACCGAAAAGTATGTACGAAGACAATACAGCGGGAGTATCGACCGACGCCAAGCGGATGGCCATGCGACGGCGTACTGCCTGAGTGCATACTTTGCGGTATCCTCGTAATCCATCTTTTTCTCACAATGATACATCATAGGAATGCCGAAATCCAAAAAGTTTGGAACAGATTTGGCGAACTTCTTTGTGTGGGGTCTGGTCCGGTCAAACCCTGGGGGCCGCCATGTTTGTTTTTATTATGTATTATTATAATCGTTCCATATTTGGAACTCGCATTTCTTGATATGGTGGGATGAAAAAATCCCCATAAAATACCGCAAAGTTACGGCATGCTGTAACGTATGGCGTTACTGTGACAGATGTATTCTCACTGAATAACTACAAGGCTAAATGAGCTCATAAGCTGCATGTTGTAGCCATTCGTCATAAGAACAGAAAATGGTCTATTACATATGCAACAAGTTTCAATTATAAATTGCATAATTATAAGTGACGTCACCATATTATACTGTAAAACATTATATTTTAGGTCCACTTCCGTATATATATTTTGAAACCAACATATTGCCTCTTAAAAAAGGCATACATTACTGCTAAAATACTATAATTCTATATTTAAAACTCCAGGACTTTATCGAGAATCAATTACATTATACAATTTTCAATAAGGTATATCTATCGCATTGTCATCTTTCCCACGTATCTCTCGTTCATGCCAGAAAGCGTACAGACAGTTACACTGGTTTTGTTCACAGCTGTGTCACAATGAAGTATTAATTCACAGTCGGTGCCTACGATAAAATGACATAAAGTTCACAATTAACGGAATGCATATTCAGTCTTACGTACATCCTGTCTGCCAGTGAGAGTTGTCATATATATCGCAGGATATCAGCACATCTCTTGCGTTTTAATCTACTATCTCAACCGAGAGTATATTCTGATTCTAGACGTACACTATCTTGCCGTTAGATGAGTGTCGAGATTTGTTGGCCGATTCTCATTCTATGATGATTTAATGCTTGAATATTATAAATTGTCATACCTAGACGATGTTAAATAATTAAAACCAGCTCCCACTAAATCGATATGTCTCATTGTGAAACTGGCGCCAAAACACTCGTGGCTCATTTTAAATACACTCATATCCGCAAGCACAAAAATAAAGAATCAATTCTATTTTTGACAGTGTAGGTGATTTTTAAATCAATATAACTTCTGAACCACTTGATCACCTCGTGTTTTAGCAATTGACTGATGATAATCCATCATGTACATACGAGTACGTTTATTGAAATATGCCAAGACACTGAAATCTATGATTGTAACACACCAATGAAGTCTTATTGTTTGTAATCGTGTTTTGTGACTTATTTTCGCATGTGTACATTCATGTTCAATGGAATTTAAACCTATTTATACGACAACTTGCATACTTTTGGTAGAATTAGTTATATTTACGAGAACAGCACAAACGCAATTGCTTTAACAAGTTGTAGTTAAGGTGTTGTTTATTTGAAAGAATTTGTTTATGGAAAAATATGTTCATTAGCCTTGTATTTCATTGCATCATGGTTCTAGCAATTACTTTGGTTTTAATGTAGAGACTGGGCTGATGTAACCAGGTAACCAGGCATGTTGACCCTAAGATGATGTAGCAATTTATATGCTAATAAATGATTCAATTTTAGTGGAATGATGATGAGTACTAGCATTAAATATTTATATCACGATTTTACCAACATTATTGTTTAACTGTTTTCGCACCTGTCAACACTACAGTATTCACGTACAAGTATTTAACTGGCTCTTAATATGCATAGTTACTTAACATAGCGTTATTTTATCAAATTGTAATACGAACGTAATCATGAAAACATATTGTAATGATAATGTTGTCTTTAAGAAAAAAGATGTAGGACTACTTGTGTGCGTTTCTATGGAAACATGTTTTGCTTTAGGACTTTATGTCAATCGCGGCAAACACGTGACTGCGTGACTTAGTATTTAGTGGCATAGGCAAGTATCACTTGTTAATTATACATGGCAATCGTATTTTATGTTCCCGTCTTAAGTGGTTGACAAATGTCTCATCATATGATGACTCATTCAGGAAACATAAATTAGCTGTATTAATCAAGTGCTAGCTGAAGAGGTTATGATACCTCCCAAACCATCATCTGATTCATCGATGGTAGTCTTATATGCTTACATGTTTTAGGATCGGGAAGATGACATAGTGCCGAGGTATACAAGTGAATGTAAAACTCTATTTTGCTTAATTTAAAATCACTAGAACAGCAAAGTTTGAAATGGTTGGTGGTTCACGATGACCCTGTTTTTACGAGTGACTAAAGAGGAATAGCTGGTTTTAATAAATGTGGTTTATTTGTTTAAAACGATTCAACAGTGTTTGTTGAATTGCGTGTTGTTACCACGCGGCTCTCATTAATAACCTAAAGAATTATAATAATTAATTAAGAATATGCTAGGTATATTTTGAAAAAGATATTATTTGTTTGTAAGTTGAATGACCAAGTTTAATTATCACGATTATTTGGTTAAGATTTATTAAATTCTCACAAATGTATCTGTTGTAGAATCTCATCTCTGCTAAAACAACAAACGTAACTTGCAGAAACACGGAATAAGCTCCTGGTATTCATACCAATACATCACTCACACGTCCACGAGAAATGTTTATCATTAAACCAGCTCAATGAAGTCGTCCCCTGATAGAATAGACTACACTGCAGTAGATGAACATTTAGTAATGTCTTAATAATTCATTATAACTCCCTCCATTACACCAAAGACAATTTATTTTGATTACACATAGAGTTTACACCCTTATCATGTCAGCCCCGTGTACGGTTTCATTGTCTAGACCAGATAAGGATTGAATATATATCGCGACATATAAAGAGTTTATACAAACAAAGAAAATACTATACATATGCAAGTAAATGGAAAAAATCAAAACCAACACAGACTAGTGATTCCAACAAACGGCAACACATATCCCACCTGTCCATTTGAATGCCACCAAAACTATACGACAATATGTTTACATTTATGCAAGTTATCGGATTCATTAAAATGATGAACCTATTAAAAATAGGGATATAAATAAAGATATAACACCATGTCATATCGCGCACTATTTTGAACACATAGTTGGTACGGCAGTGTACATTATCAAAGGTGCGAGTAGGTACCGGTACATTTACAATACACCCTAATCGAAAAATCGATAATCAAAGTATGGATCAGACATTTCATTTTACAAGTTCTGGTGACCCAAAGGACATAGTCAGTCGAAGTGGCATTTGCATGATTTGTGTAGATTTCCCTGCTGAGCACGAATCAGGAATCGTATTAAGACTCCCTAGTGTGTGATAACATGTTATCTGACTACATCGCCGGCAAATCGATGTATCTTCACATATTTACATATACATTCAACAAATGAACTAGATTTTCTGAAACGTAGGCAAAGTGTCTAAAATGTGAATTATGTAACTATTCATACAGCTCAGTCTCGTTTATATCATATTCGTAAACAATATTCGACTAATGATATACAAATTTAAAAAAATGTAACCATGGCAACAATGCGGTATCGATAGTATACGTCAATTGTACACTACGTGACAGTTATGAATATTTAAACACGCAGAGTTGACCAGTGCGTTCCCAGGAGACTGTCCAATTGACTCTGTCCATTCAATAGCATTTTGAAAATTAATTTAATCTTTAATTTATCTCTATAGAACCTTTCCAATCGTTAAAATCAACATATATATAGATGAGTCGGAAGCGTGTACAGAAGACGAAATATGATAGCGTTGTCCGGTACGTCACCAGTTTTATTACATTTGCATGTCCGGTTATTTAAACAAGAATTAAATACATCTACCACAGGTCAACTTCCAGAAGGTTTTTCGGAAATCAACATTGAAGAAACCATAAATTAATGGGTTTAGCGCAGAATTTACGTATCCAAGCCACACTGAGGAACTGATGAGTATAGGTGGGATATGACAATTCCCACAAAAAGGTTCGATTACATAGATGAGAAAAAATGGAAGCCAGCAGAAAACAAAACACCCGATAACAATTGCCAAAGTTTTAGCAATTTTACTCTCTCTCCGCAAGAGCATACGCTCTCGCTTTGTTTCGTCGAACTTCCTTTTTAGTGGAGAGTGTATGCTTCCACTTCGCAGCGAATCGGTGTCACTCAAAGAATATCTTTTTATTGTTCGTTTTCCAGCAACAGAAAGGGTCTGTAAATTATCGTCACTTCTCTCAACTCGTTTATCTGCATCGTCATTTAACGACGCCGCTCTGCTCCTCTGGCGACTATCCACGAATGAAAGATTGTGGTTGTTGTCACCTGTAGAACCATAATTCGTGTTCATCAATTCTGTTCTCGTTTGACAGTTGTTGTTCCGAATGACAGCTGCCACACATAGCTGTTTTTTTCTCGGTGTTCCAGGCTCACTACCACTTCGATAATCGTCGCTATAGCAACTGAGTTGTGGGGATTCCTCCTCTGCTATGAGGCATTTTTTTCGACGAATTGTGCTTCTTCTGCTGTCCCCAATGCTTCCAAATCGTTTCTCACTATCACTGGCTACACGGAAGATCCTTGCGTAAACAAACACCATGACAAGTAGTGGTATGTAAAATGATCCACACGCCGAGTAAATTACGTACCCTGGTTCTTTAGTCAACTCACATCTGGATGGATCACTACCGTGCTCGGGGTCTTTCCAGCCAAATAGAGGAGGAGAGGTGATCAAGACCGAAGCCACCCACACCACTGCAATCATTGAGAAGCAATGTCGCTTAGAGCGCCGTGTCACGTATCGAAGAGGCTGCGTTATGGCAAAATATCTATCGAGACTGATGCAACACAAGTTTAAGATAGATGCTGTACACAGTAACACGTCCATAGATATCCATATATCACAGAAGACAATGCCTAACCACCATTTACCGGTGGTTTCCCCAAGCACATGAAACGGCATGACCAATATGGCTACAAGTAAATCAGCCCATGCTAAGGACACGATATAATAATTAGTTACAGTGCGAAGTCGTCGTTGAGAATGAACCGCTGCGATCACAAGTACATTGCCGATAATCGCCGATAGTACAATTATGGAGAGCACAATTATAATCAACAACTGTGGATATAATTCAAACTGGAAAACCGGACACGTATTCTCACCTTCCTCACAAGTGATGTTAACAGTAGAGTTGTGATCTCCATACATAACTGTTTTGTTTGGATTATACTACTGATCTTTGTCTTCGTTTCATTCTCGTTCTGGAATCTTCATTACTCAGTTTACCTGCTCGTATGTTCGTATGTGAGTGAGAAAACTACACAATCTTTCTAAGAACAGACCACAGTTTCATTTATATAGGGGTGGTCGGCTGTTTGTAGCGATACACAAATTGCGGAAATATTGGTTATTAACAATACACAACATATCTACTTCAATATTGGTATTTACACGCAGGAATGATTAGAAATCAATGTGATTCATACAGGTGACGGCGTCTGTATACATCAAGTCAACTATGTGTCTACGCCTGACAGGTTGTGAGATAATGCAGAGCAGTAAATCGGTCGTTTTATATTCTATCTGGGTACGAATCTTACCATGTGTGCAAATTGCGGCTCTTTGAGTTAGCGTTTTCAACTTACTAGTGACAATAGCGAACTCATATTCAATGTAATTCGAACGATATCCACTGAATTAAAATGCGGGACATTTTCCGGACAATTATTAGAATATGAATATTTAGAAGTAATTTGTATACTATAAACATTATTGGTCAATTTACTCAAGACGTGTTTTCGTTTATGATTCTGAAAAAACACACACAATGTTTAATAAAATATATGGAAACCCACTTTAGGCAGTTTTTTCACGCATGACAACCCACAGTAAAGTTGCTAAGATACTCCATTACTTATCTATAACACATACGATGATTATGTTCATCATTATTGAAATTTTCCCTCAAAAACACGTTGTCAACAATTTCTAAACAAATGGGGCAACTAGATGCAATAAATACAAACAAACAAACAAACATAGCATTAACTGTTTATGTAACTTTAAACTATAATCGACCCACAGAAATATAACACCTCGTATATTCATTAATGGTGCGGATGTCACCTTAAATGAATCATGTGAAAATAACTGTGAAGACCACTATGAGGACAAGCTGAAAGGTATCCTGCCTTGAATTCTAAATCAAAAAATTAATAACTATTGCTGAAAATAATCTAGGCATATTATGATATTGTCAGTGCTATAATTTATGTTATAATTCATCTATAATACAGACAAGTTGGCAACGAATATCACATCGCAATACACTCTGACAGAACAATGATTCAATTGCCTTACAATAATTATGACGTCACGAACAATAGTTTACAATTCTGAAATTCTAATATATGTATATGATTTACAAATATCATACTATTAAATGCTATATCAACTAAAATTGAAATAATTCACCCTACCATCCGTGAATATAGCAGGAATTTACATGTCCAAGAACAAAAGAACAAAAGACTGACAACAATGAAAAAAATGATGGCTGCCATATTCGTATAACAGTGTTAATTAATTTTTTTTTAACACTTTATTTAAAGAGGGTAGGCCAATATACAATAAAGTAATTTTCATTGGGCCCTCTGTAGGGACAAAAAACACAATATACATATTATAGGCTTGAGCCATTTACAACAAATTTTTCACTCAGATAAATTTTGTAGGTTTTCTTAAAAATGCCTAAAGAGGCTGAATTTAAACACAAGCTCATTTTATCTGCCAATGGACTGTTCGATTGTTAAAGCTAGTCCTTCTCCAAAAAAACCTTAGCTTTATAGACGAACAAAGACATTTTTAAGTCAGCATATGTACTACGGCATAGCGAATGAGTTGCAAAATATATAGGAGGGGTTGGTGTAAAAGTGTGGAAAACTGATGATAGTAATTACAATCATCTCTATTGTCTTGTCTAGTGGAATGCTAACCTTTAAATCAAATTCAAGAAACATATTTAATTGTAATGTAAAGTTCAATTGGATATACGATTGGAATGTAAGTATAAATTTCAGATCTTTGATGAAAAGTTAAAAAAGCTTTTTTGTACCGTTCATTTTTATATAATTTCTGTAAATTGTACCTAAATTAAATTAAATTAAATTATATAAATTAAAACAAGACCATGTAGAAAAGTAGGCACAGGTAACACACGTATCGGCTTTCCATGCCCACGTATAATGCTACCCATCTTAAATTTATATTTATAATCTTTCATATCGATACGTATTTTTTGAAAACGGGAGGCTAGACTAGTTTAGTTATCCAACGACTAAGTTTAGCTTTTTATTTGCTAGGTTTCTTTTTTTTCTCGTTATTCTATCCCGTTTATATGCATACATGTACATTGATATGTAGGAATATATATGTATATATCAATATGTACCCTTAGTATGTACAGTAATATATTCATAGAAAGCGACACAAGAATCAGTTGATATTACGAAACTTGTAAATAAGGCCCAAATATAGTTCAATCAAATCTAATTCACTGAATTTGCAGCTCTTGAATTGTGTTAAGCTAGCAGGAAATAATAAATAATGCATATGTTTCTTGATTGGGCGATGATTGGCGTCAAACACAGCTAAAAGGATCGACATGAAGTATGAAATTGCATCGAATCCTTCTCTTAAGTAACAAATCTTTCACTGAAACTAATTCTAGCAGTAATTGTAAGCAATTACGAAGTATTTTATGTTGAAATAGTACCACATAACCATTTACAGAGTATAGAACAAACAGTCAACGTCCGTTAAATATAAAATAAAAGAATTATTTCAGCGATGAAGAGGGGGGGTAATTGGTTGGTAGCAAACAAAATAGTGCGCAATTTAAAACAACCCTACGCAGGGCCAACATGATTAAGCATTATCAGTACGCGACTTCATGATAATTTATTTGTCTCTATACGAACTAACATGAACATGCTTGGTGAATTATGCGTTGCTCCATTTTACTAAAAGGCAAAGAGGTATATGACAACGAGATGAGAGAGCCGCAACTAAACAATGGGCATCCCCTGTGGGAAGTTGGTAATAATGAAAAATTGATTTATTTAAGGTGTGCTCTAATTTGATTATAGAGTTCACAGTTCACATCCGCGGAATGATTTCATAACGAATCTCTCGTGTGTTCCAACTGTTCATTAAAAACTTATCATTTTATCGTTTGTTTTGTGAAATCGAATCTGTATTCAGTAGTTCCACGCGTATTAATAATACATTTGAGTACGATGCCAAATATGGGCGTAAGGGGGTCCTGACAGGTGGGCTATTCAACGTAATACAGTCATACAAATAAATTAGGTCAACTATATTTTGAGAAATACAATGCAATAATTTGTTTCTGTTAGCAGTTAACCAAATATTCATTAAGAAATATAAAACACGTGTTTTACCGTTAAAAAATATGTAAATCAGGAATTTATATTTATTACTGTTAAAGCATGACAAAGTTTCTCGATGTATGGAACAATTTACGTATGTTCTCAAATTTACTATTGCAATTTGTGTGTGTGACACTTGGAGCAGCATACCAGCCTTTAAGTGGTGCTTATACATAACATGGGGTCATAACTAAGCACTATTGGAGGAAATAAATACAATGCAAACATACATTACGGTGATTAGAGATAATCGAATGACGAAAAGCATTTCAACTACTAGAAATTAACAATACGTTCATCAAGTAGCGCGCCAGTCTCACACCTGCTCACAATGTTGTGTACAAAACACACAAGGGACGCTGCAAATGACTATTGAAGTGAAACAGCATATAACGAAATATGCAAAAAGCTGTTAAAAACGTGATATGCATAAATTGGGTAGATTCACCATCATCAGTCAGACTTCACCAGTTGCTTATCATTCTTTCTACATCCGTGATACGATTCACACTACAAACTTACACCTGACAGAGCGTGACATATTCGTTAACACCCATAACTGCTTAGCTCGAACCACAAAACATGCGGTTGCCCTGGCCCATTCATAAACTGTATCCGCTGATAGAGAAAAAACATTCCCTGTGACTGACCTATTTCAGTTTACCAAAATGATTTTACGTGATTCACGAGGTCCTATCGTGACACATAGAATATAGCAAAACTATCGTGATCAGTGAAAATACATGAGAAACAAATAGTTTATAAAAAAACAGTTTCTTTAATGTTATGGCCATCAATGACAACATTCATTATATTCACCTTGATTAATATTGTCTATTTATGAGGAATAAGAATAAAGACGTACATTATCTAATGACAGATATTGCTCTGAAACAATAAATTACGTTGAATCATCAATCATTATCAGATTAGTTGTTACAAATATTCTCATTTCAAATATGTTGAGCTGCTTATGAACAGTTTCATACAATTACCGTTTCTTTGTTTCCCGGGGTGTTTTCAACCACAGTCAACTGGCGCACACGTGATAATAAAATAAATACGATATTTACTATATGGGAGCACGGTTACTCACCGTGATGGGGGCCGCCATCTTGAATGATGCATAAAACTAAATAAGAGACAAGTTGTGAAACGCGTTTTTCAGATTTCTACAAATCAGGACAAAAATACCAATCTTTCACAAAAATACGGTCCGTTGGGGTTATATTAAGCCGACCGATAACAAAATTCGGCCTAATTCGTCGTTTTTGTGTGGAAAAATCCCTTGCATACGAAC